ATGGTTCAAGTTGGACAGCCAACAGTTAAACAAAAAATTGAGGATTCAATGGTGGCAGCATTGTAAAGCCACCCAGATATAGGCCCCAAGCGTCTGTACGCAAGGAGAATCAGAACCAAATAAAGAGTAGGAACAGAGATACATTTGGCAATTATAATAGATGACAAGAGCGACAGACCCATGACAGAAGAATGAATTCCAAGCACATTAAACCATGTATTTTATATATGATGCAAAACATGGTTATACAATGAATTATCTAAATAGGAGAATAATGATTTTGAAATTAAACGTTTCATGCAAGGTTTGGAAGGAGGAGATTGTGATACTCATCTGAAAAAGGGAATTGTAGTTATAATAGTTACAAGGAGCTTCAGCCAGTCATGAAAATGTTTTCATCGTGGACTCATTAACTCCTTTAGGGAGGTGATGACCTATTGTTATTATCACTAGACTGTTAATGCAGAGATCCAGGTAATGTTCTGGGCACCCAGGTTCAAACCCCGCTATGGCAGACGGTAGAATTTGAATTCAATAAAAAACAAATCTGGAATTAAGAGTCTAACGATGACCATGAATCCATTGTTGGAAAAACCTATCTGGTTCACTAATGTCCTTTAGGAAAGGCAACTGCCATCCTTGCCTGCTCTAGACTATATGTCACTCCAGACCCACAGCAATGTGGTTGACTCTTAACGCCCTCTGGGATATGCAATAAAGACTTGCCAACAACGCCCTCATTCCGTAAATGAATTTTTAAAAAATATGTGGCTTTGAACACTGGATGCACTTCTAAAGATTCTTGAATGACTGAAATAAGTTGAAGAATTTTGACAGTTCTACCCAATTTAGTTTTGGGGATAACATCACAATGAAGCCACCCAAAAAAGTGGTGATTCCCTGTAAACTACCTGGAGATAATGACATTAGCAGCACAAACAATTGCAATTGAAATACTCTTTTCATTGAGCAGGCCATGCCTTGAAAAATCACAAATTAAACTTTACATAGAGCATGACAAAGCAATTGCTTTTGCAAAATCGGTTGAATTTACAAATTTACACAATCCAGAGTATATTCCATTAACAAGACTGGACTTCTCTAAACAAACAATTAGGCAGGAGTTATTGGTATCAGTAGGTAAGAGTTTGGGGGGGAGGGGGCAGTAAAAGCTAAATATTTCAAAACTACATTGACAGTTTTCCCATCCATCAGCTCACAACTGAATGATGAAGGAGTATGAGCTAATGTGTACACTAAACGTGCAGAAGAGATCAGTGAGAAATGTGATATCTGTCAAAAATATAGCAGGACATCACGCAATTGAAATTCCCATAGCTAGAGACTTTAACAAATTTGTAGCAATCAACTTGAAAGTGTGCAACAAAGGGCAAAAAATCATCTTGCATTTAGACACAGCAATTAGATTTCTCTAGGCTACAACACATAATAAAGAGAAAATGTGAATAAAGTAATGGAAAAATGGATGGGGGGTAGTCTTGGGCACCAGCTAAATTCCTAATGGACAATGAAGGGAATTTGCCATTAATTAATTTAGGAACAGGTGAGCATTTGGATAGTGTGGCAATGAACACAGCAGCTGAAAATCCCTTTAGTAATGGATATGTGAAAAAAATCACTTGGTGATAGATGAAATGATTCATAAAACTTTACTGATGAACCAAGTATCAAATTAACATTTGCCCTGGCATGGGCTACATACAAAATAGAGGAATTTGTATCAAAGAGGCCAAAACATTAGCTAAGAACAATTAGTTAATACACCAATGTACCAGATTGGGGAAGGCAGCCTTATCATACAGGTGGATATGCACAGATAAAGTGCTTCTTGATGGGATGTGCAAGGCTAGAGCCAGACAGATAACTCGATGTTTTGAAGACAAATTTGGTGATCATCTTAGCTCTGTTAGCAACTCACTCTTGGGAATGTAGGTCAATCAATACAAAAGTGGCATTTTTACAAGGTGAAAAGTTTCAAATAGAAGCATTCTTGAAATAATTTAAAGAAGGTGAGATAGAAGGGAAGGTATGGAAATTAAACAAGTGTGTTTATAGGTTGAACGATGCAGCAAGGCTTTGATATTTCTCTTTGATATTTAGATTAGTCTTGATGAACATAAGCTCCATTCAGCACAAAGCAGATCCAGCAATGTTCTATCATCATCACATAATGAAACTAACAGGCATGATTTTCGTGGGAGGGTTCCAGGGATTTTGAGTATTGTGCGGTAGATAAAATTAAAAGGGAATTCAAAGTGAAAGTCAGGCTTTAAATACAAAAGTTTAAGATATGAAAGAGATATTTAAATATTAAGCAGAATAAATCAGCAATGACTTTGGATCAACAAACTTTCTTGGAAAGTGTTAACTGCATCCTAACAAATCAGATCCAGTCCTCGCAAAAAGATGATTTTACATCTAGGGAAGAAACAGATCGGTGAAGAATTTTGATCGGATAGTTAAAACAGTTATGCACTCAGACTCGATCCATTACCAATAATAATGTATTAGAAGTGAGCATTGTGAAGAAGCATGCTATCATTGAAGAAGTGTTGAAAGAAATCATAGAATCACAAAATCACAACGAAACATTAAAGAAATTAAGTTCAGAAAAATGTAAACTCAAGTCTCCACCCTGGTGTAATCCTGAAGATGTAAAGCAAGTGCTTTTATTGATGCTTCAGACATCGTCTTCCAGATGGCCATTTGAGAATGGCAATCGCAGTGGAAAAGAATATTAGATGCTGTTGGTTGCTCTGGGAAGCCCCAAGAAAATAAAAGGATAGAAAAATGTACCTTAGCTATTGAAATATTGGCACTAATAGAAGCTATAAGTGCAGGAGTGTTTTTATCCAAGATTTTAGAAGTAATTCTATGCAAGGTGCACCCTAAGAAAAGTCTTTCTGTTAAGAATTAAGTGGATAACTGCTCTCTTTGAGATAATGTACATTTGACAAGGGGTGACACTGAAACCAATTTCAGGATTGACACTGCAGCATAAAGTAAGTGCTAGAAAGAAATGGATTTCAAAACTAAAGCAGGTCTACCAGACAGACTGTTGCTCAAAAAAAAAAGTGCTTTTTCCAAAAAATTATTGGAGATCCTCAAAGAGGGGTATCTGGTGATGAGGAGTTGTAAGAATATAAAGAAAAACGTATTTTCAGTTCATTTTTTTTAATTAAAGATGTTATAAATGCTTTTGTTTGCATAAAAATGGATTATAAACATGTCAGATTGTATTAAAAAACTTACAATATAGAAAAAAGTTCTGTTTATCATTCATTATTTTCTGCTCAAGGATTGTTCTATGTCTTTTTAAAGTTTTATTCAAAGAGGAGGGAATCTGTTCGTATTGCAAGAAGTAAGCTACTGACTGAGGTTAATTGATCAAACATGTGTAAATATAAAGGGGAAGCAGGCGGCACTGAGGGGTGGTAAGAGCTTTGTAGCTGTTCAGTCAATACACTCTAGCACAAAGAAAAAGGTGTCTTGAGGGCTACTAATTTTTCAACCACAGAAGGTCCCAGTTTGAATTCACCCTTAAAACCTGTGGATCAACTAATTATTTAAAACAGAAGACTAGTTCTCAATAGTAGTTGAAATAATTTAAGCTGACAGCTGACGTTGCGTGTCAAAAGACTGGCCCATTTCAACTGCCTATTCATCTCGGATCTTTTACATGTTTCAAAGCTTGCATAAATAAGTAGTACATGAGTATCAATTATGACTTCTGAAACTAACTAATCAATATTAAATTTAGAAAATGCATTTTGATCTTTATGGCTACCTGAACAGTCTGATAAGTCGTTGGTAAAACAACATTTCTGTGGGTGCACCACTTCAATTCTGTTCAGATGCCCAGATCAATGCTTCCCAAATTTTTTGTCATCATAATGCCATTTTTAAATTACCGAGTCTGCAGGTTTGAGAGTGGGGACAGGGAATTCCTGTCAGAGCAGAAGGAAGCAGATGCATGAGAGAGCAGCAGGGAGGGGTTCAGAGACCCGATGGTGACAGGAGTGAAAGCTGTACAATCCAGAGGGTTTCTACATAAAAAAATTACTTTCCTGTTACTTTTTTAGGACCGGCTGCAGACATTCAAGATTGGATAATTAGACCAGGCCTACTATAAATAAAAGGAGAGATCATAGATCATTTCATAGAATCCCTACAGTGTGCCCAACAAGTCCACACCGACCCTCAGAGAATCCCACCCAGACCCATTCCCCAAACCCACCTAATCTACACATCCCTGAACACTATGGGCAATTTAGCATGGCCAATCCACCTAGTCTGCACATCTTTGGACTGTGGGAAGAAACAGGAGCACGCAGATACGGGGAGAATGAGCAAACTCCACACAGACTGTTGCCTGAGCGGGAATTGAACACAGGCCCCTGATGCTGTGAGGCAGCAGTGCTAACCACCGTGCCGCCCCGATGCTCACAGGCTGTTGCCACTTGGTGCTCAACGGCAGTCAATGTTTCATCGAAGCGCCCAACTCCAAATATTTGGCAGAATCCCTGGCCTAGATTATGCAGTCAAGTCATGAAGTGAGGTTTTAAACAATAAACCTCTGAACTGGAAGCTGGGGCAAGTTATTATACTATCACAGGGTCAATATTATTGTGACAAAGCCATTTATGACATTATTACTACAAAATTAGGTTTTGTCTTGATAACCTGGTACCAAAGTTGAAATATTAAGTGGTCTGGCAGCAGAGCAGAGAATTTCCCAAAACCACTTGAAACTTAATACATCCTTTCATCAATATGAACATTTCCTTACTGTACTGAAGTTTAGATATAGGAATACATTTTGAGAGCAAAATTTCAAGTTAGTTAAAGTCAATTTCCCTGACATTCACTAGTGACATTTTACAGCTTTCCGTTGTAAGTACATTTGAAGTGTTTAAGTTATAACTAACGTTTCAAGCACATTGCAGAGATAATTGTGCAAGAATGGTATAATCCCTTACTTGTTTTCCACAAGGAAGTCCAGAACCCATTTTTTCATGCAGTACAGATGGGCATCCACAAGTGCAGTTTTTATGTGTATTTTAGGATATCTGAAATGAAAAATTAGCAATTAGCAACCTATGTTTACAAACTGTTCATCGATACTTCATTGCAGTATTGTTCCACAAACTCAGGAAACCAAGTCACTTCATTACAGTGTTACCGAACCTCCATGCGGCTGCTAAATTCCAAAGTCTAAGCAATAGGTTATTATCATATTTTAATATCATCGTGGTACTAGATTAACATAAAGTTGCAATTGACTCAATTAGCAATAGGAATCATGAAAAGGTAATTTAAGGTATTTAAATATTGACGCACCACCTTCTACAAGTGCAAAGTACTATATATAGAAGAAAAAGTCCCATCTGTACTGTATCCCCACTGGTACTGCAATGCGTAACCAACCTCAACCACAGGTACCAAAAAAAAGTGCAACAATTTTTTCATAAAGCCTAAGCCTCCTTTCATATTTAATTTGTTTTGTTCCTCATTTTTGTTTTATGCAAGTTATATTCAGAGACACTATGCATTTTTACTTGGTGAGGAAAAGCAACAGGGGTTGCAGAAAAAAGGAAAATGAAGATGTTACAGCAAAAGGTTGATAGAGATTATCTGGCATTAATTAGAAAACAGGAAGACAAAGAGGCAAGGGCAAGAAGTGAACAGAGCAATCGAATGCAAGAGCAAGTGCTGCATGTAAAGAAAACGTTAGTTGCTAAAGAAAATTTCATCCTTAATTCTCATCATAATTAGGAGTCAGAGCCAAAATAGGGCATTAGCCAAAATAATAGATCCTAGGTTTAAGAATATCGTGGTGCAACAACGTGGGGGGGAAGAAAAACCCATTTTCAATGTGTTGTGCAAACACCAAAGTATGAGAGTCACTATTAAATGAGCCACCTGATCCAGAATTTTTCTTCTGGAAAGAACGAGTGAATCAAAACACTTTTTGAAAAACAAAAAAAAAGTAACAGTTCAGTGGGACCATGAAGAAATCTCTCTATATTCTCAAGGAGGAAGAACTTCTAATGCATTTGATAATGAAATGAAATGCTTCAACAAACAATGAAAACCAGACAGTTTCACTGAAAATGTAGAATAACACTGATAATCAAATATTCATACTTCAACAAACGTTGAGGAATGTAGGTTTTGATCCTGAAGATACTGAAATGACAGAGGAGTGGAGAATGCTTAGTAGACACATAACAAAAATTCTAAATCAAACTTTCTTCTTCTTTCTTTGTTTGTGGTAAATGGGTATCATTGACCAGGCGACTAATAATTGCCCCTTCAGAACTTCCCTGGAGAATGTAATGGTGACCTGCCTTCTTGAGCCCCTACAGTCTCTGGTGTTCAGGTACACATACAATGCTGTTTGAGTCAAAATCCTAGATGTCTCTAAGACAGAAAAGGAACAGTAACATTGTCCAAGGTTAGAATGATGCATGGCTTGGAGGAGAACTTGCAGGTGATGCAATTCCCATGCAACTGTTGCCTTGTCATTCTCAGTGTAGGCTGCACATTTGGAAGCTGCCATCAGCGGAGACATGTAAGTTACTGCAGTGCATCTTTAGATGGGACACACAATTACCAATAAATAACACTCATGAAGGGAGAGAACACTGAAGGTAGTGGAGGGGTGAAATCAAATGGCTTGCTTTGTCTTACATGGCGACAAGCTTCTCAAATGTGTCGAAGCTGACGTATCCAAGGCCTGGGGAGTGTTGCCGAGCAAAGAGACCTTGGGTACAGATTTACAGCTGGTTGCTGGTAGACAGGGTAGTGAAGCAGGTGTTTGGTATGCTTGCCTTTATTGGTCAGTGCATTGAGTAAAGGAGTTGGGAGGTTGTTTTGTGGTGTACAAGATATTGGTTATGACACTTTTGGAATACTCCATTCAATTCTGGTCTCCCTGCTATAGGAAGGATGTTATGACACTTGAAAGGGTGCAAAAAAGATTTACAAGCATGTTGCCAGGGTTGGAGGGTTTGAGCTATAGGGAGAGGCTGAATAGGCTAGGGATTTCCCCCCCCCCACCACCCCGAGTGTCACAGGCTGAGGGGGTGACCTTATACAAGTTTATAAAATCATGAGGGGCAAGCATAGGATGAATAGTCAAGGTCTCTTTCCCAGGGCAGGGGAGTACAAAACTAGAGGGCATTGTGAGAGGGGATAGATTTAAAAGGTAACTTTTTCATGCAGAGGGTGTGTGTATATGGAATCAAATGCCAGAAGGAGTGGTGGAGGCTGGTATAATTACAACATTTACAAGGCGTCTGGATGAGTATATGAATAGGAAGAATTTAAGGGATATGAGCCAACTGCCGGCAAATAGGGCTAGATTAATTTAGGATATCTGGTCAGCATGGATGAGTTGGACTGAAGAGTTTGTTTCCATGCTGTACATCTCTATGACACTATAAGTGAAGAGTTATCTATCACATTTCAGACTTGTAAATAGTGGACAGGGATCAGGCATTCAGGAGGCAAGTTACTTGTCGCAGAAGTATCAGTTTCTGACCTGCTGTTGTGGCCACAGCATTTATGTGGTCAGTTCAGATCACTGTTCAATGAATGATAATCCGCAGAAGGTTAATAAGTGGAGGATTCACTGATGGTGATGCCATTAAATGGCCAATGGTTAGATTCTCTCTTGTTGCAGATGGTCATTGCCTGGCATTTGTCAGCCCATGCCTGAATATTGTTGCATATAGAAACAGACCACTTCAGTATCTGAGGAGTTGCAAATATTGCTGAATGTTGCACAATCAATGTACCCATTCACTTTGGACAAAAAGTCAACCATGAATCAGCTGAAGGTAGCAGGTCCTAGAACACTAGGAACTTCTTTGCACTGATTTCCAGGGCCATATTTAACCAACTAACATCAATTACAGTGAAATCACTAAGAACTATTTTTTGACAAACAAAGTTTTGGAGCATAATAATTTGTGTAAATGTAGACATTTGTGGGAATAAAATACAATTGAGAGAGCTGGGAAATAATTGAACTGTTGAATTAAATCTGCTGATACAGGAAATGCTTTAGATAAATTCACAGAAATTTTTCTGTTTTTTTTTTTGAAGTTAATATCCAGTTTATTCAGTCCATATGCCCTTGGAGTAAATGTCTCAGATTATTACGCCATTGAAAAACACTTTCTTTACTTTTCTAAATCTAATTTTTCACTTTATTCCCCGAATGTAGGATTGCGATCCCAGCTTTCAGAAATAAAGGCAGAAAATGGTAGGAATACTTAGTAAGTCTGCAGCATCTGCAGAAAGATAAACAAAGTTAACATTTCAGGTTGGTGGTGCTTCATCAGATCTGTTCAGATGAAGGGTCACCAACTTTTTCTCTGCCCCACTGTCTAGCTGGATAAAGGTGCGTCACTAATGAAGACTTTCTTTTCTATCTTGCTTTGTGACATGTTACGGTGATTGAAACTGCTTGGAAGGCTGCAATAAGAACACATTTTGTTGACAGTGACTGTTACGATCATAGGTTTCAGATTAGCTATGGAAATGAACAAGGAGCAATCCCCTGGAGTAGAAACAATAATTTGGGGAAGGGCCAATTTCAATAGTATGGGAATAGATCTGGTCCAGGTAAACTGGAATCAAAGTTTAGTAGGCAAAAAAAAAAGAAGGCAGCCTATTGCTCTGTTAAAGATATGGTGACTTAGATATAGTCAAGGCACATTCATGATGGGGTCGAGTATAGTAGTCGAAGTAAAAGTTCCTAGGATGCGCAAGAGTTCAAGAGTAAGATAAAGCAGAAAATAGGTCAAATTGATAATGCAAGTGAGAATCAGGCCATATACTGAAAGTTCAGAAGGGAAGTAAACAACAAAATAACAGAAAGAGAGTATCGGAAGAGGCTAGCAACTAACATTAAAGGGTAGTAAAAGGGGTGGAATCAGTTAAGGTCCATAAAGATGGAGGCAAGGAGCATGGTTGAGTACTAAAGAAGTACTTTGATATCATCTTAGCAAAGACTGATGCAAAGTGATAAGTCAATGCCTTTTTATTTTTCTGCTTTTTTAAAAACCTGGCCTTAAATAAGAAAGAACTGTTTTAAACCAGGGAGTTACAATAATGGCTGCATGTTTTGAAAGTAAAGAATTGGACATCTACTTTGAGCTCTGTTTGTGTAGCTGTGGGTTCCAGCAATGGTGCAGATGATCTGGAGGTAAGGAGTCACTTACAAATGAAACTTGATTGGTTTGCAAACTTGGGACCAATAATCAGCAATAAGTACCTTCTTGGGACCAATTATCAGCAATAAATGCCTTCTGCCTGCAAGATTGCCAGTCAGCTTAACAGCTTGGACACTGAGCAAGCCAGACCAGAAGAGAAACCAGTAGATTTGTAGCAATCAAAATAGTCCCCTCTCTTCTCTGTAGTAATCCACTTTAACCAGAAGAAAACCAGCTTCTTTTTCCTTTAGCAGTTAATGCATGTTGTGACTTTGAATTGGATATGTTGAAGACTTTCCAGACAAGAACCAGCCACCCAGCGTCTCTTGAAAGCCAGGGGAAACATTCGGGAAAAAAGATTAAGGATAAACATTTGAACCAGCAAGAACAAACCCAACAGGTCTTTGGTCAAAGATTACAGAACTGTTTTCCCTCTGCCTATATGTTTCTTTTCCTCCTGTATATGGTTGTCTGTCCATAGGTATGTAAGGAAGAGTTAACAAAGGGTTTAGGGCTTTGATCTGTAGAGTTTATTTTATTTAGTTTAATCTGATTACCTGCAGCTAGATTTAATGACTTGTAATAAATAGTGATTGATGTTAAACACAGGAACCTGGTCCATGTTTTCTACCAACCTGGGTCTGAAAATCGGGTAGTTTAGGGATTTTATGTATTTCTTTAAAATATTTTAACTTTTGTGACAACTTCAAGAATAGCAGGGCATGATTTCCAGTATTCTATCCTGAGTCGTGACAATGTCATAGTGAATGAGGAACTAGATAAGATATTATATGGACTAAAAATTCATAAATACATTTTGGGAAGATTGGATAAATTTGAAGCTG